CTGTCTTTCCATTTAAACAAAGGGTTAACATTTAGTAATTTACTGAGAAGCATAAAGGATGAGGGAGAGAAAGAGATCATGATAATGGGGGTAGGATTAGTTTTCTTAGTCAGGAATAAAGGAAATGAGAGGGAATGAATAAAACAAACACCAAAAGCTTTGTCAGTAAAGAGGTCAACTACAGAGAATAATGTGACCAAGGACAGAGACTTGAGGACAGTGTAAAAGCTCCCTGGAGGACAACACTGTCCCTATAAGAACGAAGTTTAAAAGAAATGGTTTAGATGCTACAAATAATGAAAAGAGGTAGAAATATTAGTCCTTCAGATAAAAAGATCATATACCTTTTTATGTGGTGCAGTGGTTTCAGTGCTCAGCTGCTAATGGAAAGGTAGGCAGTTCGAAACCTCTAGCTGCTCTGTGGGAGACAGATGTGGTAGTCTGCTTCCATAAAGACTGCAGCCTTGGAAACCTTACGGGGCAGTTCTCTGTCATATAGGGTTGCTATGAGTCAGAGAAAATATTGAAAATACTGAAGTTGTCAAGGATTTCATTTTACTTGGATCCACAATCAATGCCCATGGAAGCGGCAGTCAAGAAATTAAATGACGTATGGCATTAGCAAATCTGTGCAAAAGACCTCTTTAAAGTGTTGAAAAGGAAGATATCACTTTGAGGACTAAGATGCGCCTGACCTAAGCCATAGTATTTTCAATCACCTCATGTGCACGTGAAAGATGGGCAACGAATAAGGAGGACAAAACAAGAATTAACGCATTTGAATTACGGTGCTGGCAAAGAATAATAAATATACCATGGACTGCCAGAAGAACAAACAAATCTGTCTTGGAAGAAGTACAGCCAGAATGCTCCTTAGAAGCGAGAATGGTGAGACTTTGTCTCACTTACTTTGGACATGTTATCAGGTGGGATCAGTCCCTGGAGAAGGACATGTTTGGTAATATAGAAGGTCAGTGAAAATGAGGAGACCCTCAAAGAGATGGATTGACAGAGTGGCTGCAACAACTGGGCTCAAACATAGCAACAGTTGTGCAGATGGTGCAGGACTGGGCAGCATTTTGTTCTGCTGTACAAAGGATCACTAGGAGTCAGAACCAACTCGAACGCACCTAACAACATACCCAACAAATGACTTGTATCTAGTGTATGTAAAGAACTCCAACAAATCAGTAAGCGGGAACCCAACATAAAAAATAGGCAGGAAGTTTGAACAGGTTTCACAAAAGTGGATACACAATTGACCAATAAACATGTAAAAGGACTCTCAACTTATTTATTAGGAAAATGCAAATTAAAACCACCAAGGAAATACAAGTACACATCCACCAGAAAGATAAAATGAAATAGACTGAAATTATAGCAAGTGTCGGTGAGGATGTGGAGCAACCAAACCTCTCAGGCACTGCTGCTGGTAGTAGAAATTGTTATAACCACTGTGGAATAATGATGGCAATATCTACCAATATCGACCAAAGGTGACATGTGCATTTCTCATTACCTAGCAAATCCATTCCAAAGAGAAATGTGTTCAAGGAAACACATATGGTAAAATGTTCACAGTAGCACTATTTGTAATAGTCCCAAACTGGAAACTACCCAATGACCATCAATAGTAGAATGGATTAAAAAATTGTCAAGTATTCACATGGAATTCTATACTGAAATAAAAATGCTCATGTAACAGTATGGAGGAATGTCACAAACATAATACTGAGCAACAACAACAACAAAAAAAAAGCCAGACACAAAGACCATATAAATTCAACTGCACAGCATGTAAACTATAAAAACAGACAAAATTAATCTAGGCTATTATAAATCTGAATACTGGTTATCTTTGAGGTTGGGAGTAGTGACCGAAAGGCAGCAGGAAGAATCTTATATTGTGTTGATGATGTTCTGTTTCTTGATCTGGGTGCTGGTTACAAGGATGTGTTCAATGCGTGAAAATTCATCCATCTGTACACTTATAATTTGTGCAATTTCCTGTATGTATATTATACTGCAACAAAAAATAGCATATGTGACAAAAAGCAAATAAATTAAAACAGCAATATGGAAAAAATTTCTACATGTATGACAAAGGGTTCCAAAGCAAAAAAACCCGTTGCCATCGATTCGATTCTGACTCATAGCGACCCTATAGGATAACGTAGAACTGCCCCATAGGGTTTCCAAGGAGCAGCTGGTGGATTTGAACTGCTGACCTTTCGGTTAGCAGCTGTAGCTCTTAACCACTGCACCATCAGGGCTCTGATAAAGGGTTAGTGAAGTTAATATATAAAGAATTCATGCAACTCAACTTTTAAAAAGCTAGTATCCAATAGGAAAACGGTCACACAAATACAAAGAGGATGTTCAATCAAAGAAATAAAACTGGCTACTAAAACATTTAAATGCACAAAATGTAAAATAGAACAATGGACTACAATGTTTGCCTAACAAATTAGCAAAGATTAAAGGAAACTAATAAGACTGTTGCTGAGGATTTGGTGAAACTAACACTCTATTCCTCATGGAAATGTGAACTGATATAAGCTTTCTGATGAGTCCGGCAGTGTAATAACCCTTAAAAAAATGTTCATATCCTTTGATGCACTAGCTCTACTCTAGAAATTATTTTGAAGAAAAATCAGAGCTGCAGTTAAAGATGGGCTTATTGTTGATTAAAAAAAACCAAACCCGTTGCCATCGAGTCCATTCCGACTCATAGCGACCTTATAGGACAGAGCAGAACTGCCCCATAGAGTTTCCAAGCTGTAAATCTTCACCAAGCCAACTGCCACATCTTTCTCCTAAGGAGGACTTGGTGGGTTGCTTAACCACTGCACCACCAGTGCTCCTTCAGCGTTGATTACGATGGTGTCCCTGGAGAAGGACATCATGCTTGGTAAAGCAAAAGGTCAGTGAAAAAAGGAAGACGTTCAACGAGATGGACTGATACAGTGACTGCCAACAATGGGCTCAAACAGCAAAGATTGTGAGGATGGCGCAGGACCTGGCAGCGTTTTGTTCCGTATTCATAGGGTTGCTATGAGTCTGAACCAACTACACAGCACCTAACAACTAACAACAATGGTGAAAATTCTGAAACAATGTAATTATCCAATATGGGATACAAATGGGAAAATGGTTATACTATTATACATATATAATGTGATATTATTATAGTAATGAGTATATGAAGGGGGAATACATGGTAAATTAAAGTGAAAATATAGGATACAAAATTCTATGTATTATTTCTTTTCATGTTCAGAAAGATTACATACACAAACATTTGCACAGAAAAAGTCAGTAAGAACACATATCATGATGTTAACAGAGGCCACCTGTGGTTAGTATAATTATGGATGATCTTTTATTTTTGGCTTATTTTCTAAAATAAAATGCTCTTTGAGCATGTACTACTATTATATTCAGAAATTTAAGAAAATAATAGGGTTAAAAAATATATACACCCATCCAGTTACCTTACTCTAGAAATTTAAGCAACCTAGATTTCTGTCTTCTTCAACTCCCACATTCAATCTGCAACTGTTTCCTCAATTTTACCTTAGAAATGTTTGTCCAAGCCTTTATTCCATCATTTCTACAACTCAGGTCCTAGTCTTCCCTAGTGAGCTCCTGGCATCCAGTCTCTTCATTTCGGCAAAATGTCCACATCTTCCACTACCTCTGTATTTCACCTGCATCAAACCACTAACTATAGGGACCCTCCACTGCCCTACCTCAAAACCAAAAAAAAAAAACCTCACTGCCGTGGAGTCGATTCCTACTCATAGCAACACTACAGGATACAGAAGAACTGCCTCATAGGGTTTCCAAGGCTGTAAATTTCTATGGAAGCCGACTGCCACATCTTTCTCCCGTGGAGTGGGTAGTGGGTTGGAACAGCCGACCTTTCAGCAGCCGAGCGTTTAACCACTGCGCACCAGGGTTCTGCCGCATCCCCACCGAAAAACCACACCAGGTACTTTCATGCCTCTGAACCTTGGAATACTCAGTTTTTCTTTTCAGTGATGTATTCTCTCCCTTTCATCTTTCTAATCTGATACATGGTTCAAGATTCACCTCGGATATCATTTACTGGGTGTAGCCTCTCCTACGCCGCAAGGAGTACAGTTTCCAAATTAATCCTCCAATGACAGTTTGAACATCTTTCAACATTTATCACTCTATGTTGTAGTTATCTGTTAGTGCCTACCTTTCCCATTGTACGGCATGAGTCATTTTGTTTTCAATTTCTTAAAACCCAATTGGATGAATGAACGTAAAGGGTATATATGCAAAACATATATACAGAGGTCTGGTGTTTTTTCTTCAAGATGGCAGAGACGCCTTAAAATAATCCCGCACGAAAGCACTCACATTCAGCGCCTCGAGTCAGAACTGGCTCAAAAGCAAAGGACAAAAGACTTGAGCCTACATGCTGAGATGTCCCGGCCCTAATCACCCACAGTAGATCCCTACACAAAGGTTTCAAACCATGTTAGAAAACTGGCACCTGCTGCCGTCATTCCGCGGGCCACGCCTCGGCGATGAACGGTAATCCGAGGCACTTCTGGATACTGACCCAAAAAATCGAGAAAGAAAAAGGGCTAAATAGTACTAGTGGATATCCAAAATGAATGATTCGGCCCCGCCCCAGCCAGGCGCAGTCCCCCTGCGGCGCATCCATCCCCGGGGAAAGGAATAAACGCGGCTCCTGACCACAGGTGCTGGCAACGCGGCCAGGGCTCGGGATTCTGGGAAGGTCTAGGGCTGAGGCTGGCCTCCGCCAGGGCGCCGCGGGTTACACCTGTCAGGCTGCGCCTAACGCTAGGCCCCGAAACCGCCGGGGTCTGTGCCGACGCCTGTGGGAGCGCGTCATCCGCCCTCTGGTCCCTGGTTCGGCCCAACCCCTTGCCTCCTCGCTTACCCCCTCGTCCTTCTCCTCAAACAAAGGCAATCCACACCCACCGCCATTTTTCCCTTACCTCAAAAACCACCTCTTCGTCAAAGTCCGGTGTCATCCTTCTCCGCCATGCCACCCGCCTCAGCACGATGGGAAAAGAAGGCGGGAGAACAGGCAGCACCGACGCGTAGGCGTCGCCTGTCCCATGGGTTCAGAAAACTACAGTTCCCAGCATGTCTCGCAGATCCCGCCCCCTTTTCAGTCACGTTTATTGGAGCAGAGGATGAGTGTGTGGGCGTGAAGGGCGGGAGCGGGATGAAGTTCCAGCCCTCTGATTGGAGGAGTCTTGGGCTTTTGTATGCCTTTTACGGCCGCGACTAGCAGGGGGCGCTTGGAGCACTGATTTTTTGAGAGTGAGAGAGGCGCACGCTCCGCCGGCCCTGTGGTGCGCGCAGCTCGTGACCGCGCCTGGCCGTCCGCCCGGAGCTCGGCTGGGCGGTGCTCTTGCTTGCCTGTCTGCCGCCGGCTGCTTGCGCCCGGGACCGCTGCGGAGTCCCTGGAACCCGCCACATCCTTTGTGCCTGGGCTGCGGGAGGGAAAGCGATAGCTGTGGGGGCTTTTCTCTTCTTCCCTAACACTTGAAACAATGGACTGAAAAGGGAACATGGATTGAGGGGGGCGAGCGGGGAAGCGAGCTGCACAGGGGAATCATGACTTCTGTCGCTGGTAAGTGACTGCGCTGGGTCTGCCGTAGAAAAGTTTGTAGGGAGCATTGCTCGTCTTCGACTTTCGAGCAACTTTCTCCTCTGGGTGGGTGAGTTGTGTGTCTGTCCTCTACCTTTCCCAGAGGACCTCGGCTAATGCCGAACGGATGGGGTTTGCTGCCGGATTTACTCGTCCGTTCTTGCTTGCCTAGAGGGGCTGCTTGGAAATCAGTGTATCTTGGGACTTCCCTTCAGAGGGAGACCTGTGTTGGAGGCTCTTTGCGCCAGGTGAAACGCTAAATGTACAAGGCATTTGCTCTTCTCTCCTAAAATTTAAGCCACTTTGCCTTTGCGTGTGAAAATAGTTTAGATTCCCATGTTAAGAAATCAGTTATTCTGGGAAAGCGTGAGTGTTCCCAGCGTGTTGAACTCAGCAGCTCTATGCGACTAGCTTTTAAACTAGTATCAACTGAAAACCCTTGCAACCTTATTCGATAAAGTGATTTAGACACTGTTACTTATGTCCTGGTGGTTTTACCTCTATTATGTGAGAAACAGAGCAATAGGATTGCCGATGGCAGTTGTTTACTCGTCTTCACCCGATTTCGTATGGTTTTCTTAAATTTCTACCTGGTTTGTGTAAACAAAGCCCTATTTTCTGTCTGACTCCCACAGTCCCCCTTTTCCAAATGACAAAGCCTGTGTTTACCTTTGTGTGGATTTTGAGCAATTCTGGACATTTTAAAGGAACAGTTCTTTTTTTCTGAAATGATTTCTAAAGTGGTGTTCAATTCATTGTATAAGAACATAGGTTAATTTTTTAAACAGGATTTAATGTGTTAAGTAATTTTTTTTTAAACGTTTTAGTTTATATTGAAGGGAATAAACTTTCATTAGAAATAGTAAAATAGTTTAAAGCTTCTCCTCAAAGTTACTTCTAGAATCAGCACTTAAATATCAGATTAAATTTGCTTTGCTTTTCCCTGCCTTTGTTTAAAATTCCTGCAACTTGAAATTGTCAAACAGCACTCTAAATGTTCTGATTTGTATTCTTTGTAAAGCCTAGATATATCTGAGTGTTGCATTGCTAGATGTAATCAGATTGCAATTAACAAAACAAGAAGTTAGCCAATAGGAATAAAAAGCAAGGAGTGAAGTGTTTCTGTAGAAGATGTTGTGGATTTTTCCTTTTTGATCTTGATCTTCTTATATGTGTGTCTAAGAGATATGTCATACACCACTGGAGTTATTTATAAACACTCTTTTTCTTAACAAAGGGAGGCTTTCTACTGACTTAAGGTGAATTATTTTCATCCTAAATTTCTGTGCGTCACGTTTGTCCAAGTTTTCTTTATTGCTGAATCAATCTAAGTATTTTGAATTTAAAGTGGTTGGAAATTAAAAGTCTTTCCAGCCAATGTTAGTTCTCCCTTTTTCAAGTGTCAAGTGAATTTAAAACAATCATTCCTTATATGTATCAGTTTTCAATTCCAGTCCTAATATTTTGTAATGAGCAGGTACAAAAGCACTTAATTTGACCTTTAAATATGTAAACTTGATTTCTAGGGCTGAGTTTGAAAGTTTATGATTCTGACATTTGAATTACTCTAGAATAATGCAAACTCTTTTTATATTTTATCAACTTTACAATTAAAGAACACCACAGACATTTTTGTGGTGTTTAAAAGAGGGATACTTCCTGTGTTTAGCTGAGTTAGTTGGTTTTTAGCATGGCTCACTTGGAAGCATTAACTGCTTTTTTTGTTCACCCATCTGTTAAGATTTATTAGTGTTCTTTCTAGTGTCTATATGGGGAACATGGAAGAGAACTGGGTTTATCTAAGTTATAAGTATCCTAAAGAAGAGTTGCTCTGTTTTTTCTGCATCTGTGAAAGCTTGGGTCTTTAGTAGAGATTTTAGAATTATTCTAAGCATTATATGAAAAAGGAGAGATAATGATAGGTGTATATTTTCTTTTTTCAGCATGTATAGGTCACTATCGTATTAATTTGGGGCTGGTCCAATAGCCTAGAAGGTGTGCACGTGAATCACACAGCCACCTGTGTGTAACAGATGACGATTATGTTTGTAATAGTAAAATGGTACTAGTACTTCAGTTTCTTACCTTATTTTTCCCTGGAGCCAAACAGCTGTGTAAATAAAAGCTTTGCTGCTTTGCTCTAAGAAGCTTTGGGTCTGACTGTTGATACAGTATTAGGATCCAGAGGTGCTGGATTCATTTCCTAACATCATGCACTCATTTCAAGACTTTGACGTTGGAGCAGACCATAATATAATGGCTTGTTATTTTTTGAGTTGTGTTTCTTTCAAAGTAAAAAAAAAAAAAAAAAAAAAGAGGATTTCTGATATTGCAGGACCAGTGACTTAGTTGAACCCTAGTTCCCACTGAAAATTAACGGTTTATTTAATAATCCAGTTGAAGTTGATTCCTGCTAACTTTTCATAATATTATTCTGCATTAAAATGAGTATTGGTTTTTTAAAAAGAAATTTCCTGTTACTGAGACATATTATGGGTATTGAGTAGGTGGCAGCTGTGACTATTCCCCGGCTCTTTTTCAGTGCAGGAATATAGCAGTGAATAAGATTAACAAAGTCCCTGCCCTCCTGGAGCATTCCTTCTAGTGGTGGAGACAGATGCTGAAGAAAAATGAAGAGACATGCTGAAGAAAATAAAAGTAGGGTAAAGTGGCTAGAGTGAGTCATTGGTGGGTCACTGGTAGAATTCTCCCCTTCCATGAGGGAGACCCAGTTTGATTCCCAGCCGGTGTACCTCATGCACAACCACCACCCATCTGTCAGTGGAGGCTCGTTCCTTGCTATAATGCTGAACAGATTCAGCGGAGCTTCCAGACTAAGATGAACTAGGAAGAAACTTATGGATCACAAGGGTCCAACCTCCAACCGATCATGGGGATGGCTTGGGACTGGGCAGCATTTCATTCCATTGTGCATGAGTCAGGGGCTGACACATGGCAGCTAAGAACAACAAAGTAGCTACAGAGTATAAGAGATAGCTTCTCCTGAAGAAAGTATCTCAGGAGTTATAATCTCAGAATCATATGGGCTTTAGAGATGATCTAATTCCTCCATTTACTAGATGAAGCAGGGAGATCTGCCACAAAGGCACACAATTAGGTTAGGCCCGCTGCCTCCCGGTTATTATTGGCTTTCTCCAATATACAGTTAACCTACAATGGTAAACCTGGGTTCACATGTATTTAATTCAGTGAGTAAGCATTGAGAGCTTTAGGTACATAATGCTGTGCTATATTTATTTGAAATCAACACCAGCTCAATACTGATATGTAGTTAGGTGAATTGCTGGTACACTAAGAGAGTACAGGGATTTATGTCTCTTGGAAGCAGCCTTTAGTATAAAACACATTTAAAGAAAAAGGTAAAGGTGGTACTAGAAATTAAAAAACAATTTAACTAAGAATCAGAAATCAATCAGTTAAATAACCTTGAAGCTCTGACAAAGCCATAAAATTCAGAAAGTAAAAGATAGTAAAAGATAAATCTGATGAGACGTGGTTTTGGTTTTTTGTTTATTTAAATTCCTTCAAAAATCCCAAAGGTAGGATGTTTTGCGAATGGTAGTAGAAGTCCAATCAACGTGACAGTCTGTCAATTTTCATTCTCTTTAGTAAGCTGGGGGTTGTGGGGAGGGTTGTGAAGAACCTTAGGGCATTCATTCCTTCTTTCTCTTAAGACTTGACCTAATAGATGATGAGTTTAATTTGGTAGACCATTGCACCGAGATTTATTACTAGGCTTTGAAGGATTTTATAATTTTTTTTCCTACCTTAAAAAAAAAAAGAACTTTAATAACATGCTTATTGAACAGCTAACTGAAATTGTATGGCGTTGGGAATCTATATTATTTTGAAAATACAGTAAAACCTGCGAAAGCTGGAACCTGTGTAAGGTGGAAATCTGTCAGAGAAGGAAGACTTAAAATGTTTTTCACTAAAAGGAGCAATAGAAAAGTGCACCCTGTCAAAGATGGAAAACTTGTGAGACCCAGAAAAACAAGGCAGTCCCATCAAGTTCTGGCTCTCACAGATTTCACTATCTTCTTTATTTATGGTAATACTCTTAATAAGCAGTTGAGTAAGAAGGCATCTGCTATTGTGTAATTTTGGTTGTACCTATATATTAGGGATTCAGGAAATTCTTCCTTGGTTGATAAAGGGAAGTAGAGTGCCCTACTCTATTTTTTACTCAGTTCCATGTAATGTCTTCCTGAGTGTTGTGACTAATTTCCTTTGTTGAAAAGAAAATCCCCTTCAAATGAAATATCAAAGCTTCTCTGTATTCAAGTAATGTTTAGCAGTCCTTTGTAGCAGATATTTTGAAGTTATTTTTGTTTTTTTCAGTAAATTAAGTTTTTATTCAGCTTAGATCCTGTTGCAAGAGCAAACGTAAGTATAAGAAGTATAAGATAAAACATTATCTGACCTCAAGTTTCCTTGGGAAGTAAGACTGGGTCATAAGTGACAGTGTAGGTAGAAGAGCGTTTTTATTTTACAGTTCTCTTGGGTAAAGCTTTTATTAGGCTTCAGCCAGCGCGCCTCTTGCACAGTTGCCACCCATCTGTCAGTGGAGGCTTATGCATTGTTATGATGCTGAACAGATTCAGCAGAGCTTCCAAAGTAAGACAAACTAGGAAGAAAACTATGGATCAGAAGGGTCCGATCCCCAGCCAATCATGGGGATGGCGCAGGACCTGGCAGCATTTTGTTTTATTGTGCGCGGGGTCACCATGAGTCGGGGGCCAGCACGTGGCCGCCAACAACAACAAAGTGACCAGAGAATGTAAGGGATAGTTTCTCCTGAAGGAGGTATCTCAAGAGTTACAATCTCAGAATCATATGAGCTAGGGCCCAGCTCTATACAAATCTAGCACAGCATAAATAGGTGTTCATTTAAATACTTTATAATGTTGAGGAAGAATTGCTACACTAGAAATTGTGGTCAGCTGTTATATGAACAAGAAAGGTGGTTATTAATTAATAGTACACAGCAGAATCACCAGTGGAACTTGACAAAAATGCAGATAGTCAGGATCTATCCCTCGAGGTTCTGGTTGATTAGATCTGGGGTAGGGCCTGGACATGTGACTTAAGGGAAAAAACAAAAAAGGCTCCATGAAGGATTAAAATGAAAATTCCTGATTGATAACCCCTGCACAGAGAAATACTGGCTTCATTATGAGCGTCAAATAATATAACAGAATTAATTCAGTCTTAAAGTTTATAAGATTTCTGTATTCCATTTTTAAGATGATTTTGGGGTTCTGTCTAGTGAGGTAGACGGACAATTGATAAAAGGCATTTATACAACTCTATAGGGTCACACAGTGGTTAAAGCACTCAACTGCTAACCAAAAGGTTGGTGGTTCCAACCCACTGGCTGCTCCATGGAAGAAAGATGTGGCAGTCTACTGCTGTAAAGATTTCAGCCTTGGAAACCCTATGGGGCAGTTATCCTCTATCCTGTAGGATCACCATGAGTTGGAATTGACTTGGTGGCAACAAGTTTTTTTTTTTTTTTGTGGTATGAGTCGGAATCGACTCAACGGCCTTTTGGTTTACTGTATATCATTGAGGTAGAAGCATACTACTCTTATTCATATGAGAAGCTTAATGAGTCACATCCTACGTTTTACTTAGGCAAATTCAGCACTCAGCAAATAAACTGAAGTGCTCCTCCAATTATTTCATTTAGTGTCAACAGAAGATATGGTAATTTGTTCCAAAGTTGGAGGAAAAATAAGCTGTATTGCATTTATTTTAAAATATACGATATACCCAAAGCTATATATACTGAAATTTAAGGGCAATTTAAGGAATTGTCAAGAGTAATATTGACTTTATACACTGTAACATAACCTACCTCTAGGGGCAGTGGTGGTTCAGTGGTAGAATTCTCATGCTCCATGCAAGACCCGGAGCCCTGGTGGTGCGGTGGTTAAGAGCTCAGGCGGCTAACCGAAAGGTTAGCAGTTCAAATCCACCAGCCACTCCTTTGAAACCTTATGGGGCAATTCTACTCTGTCCTATAAGGTTGCTATGAGTCACAAACGACTCGACAGCGATGGGTTTGTTTGTTTGTTTTTAACGCGAGACCCAGATTTGATTCCTGGCCAGTGCACGTCAAGCGAAGCCACTACCTTTCTCTCAGTGGAGGCTTGCGTGTTGCTATGATGCTGTATAGGTTTCAGCGGAGCTTCCAGACTGAGACAGACTAGGAAGAAAGCCCTGGTGATCTACTTCTGGATAATCAGCCAGTGAAAACCCTATGGATCACTATGGTCCTAATGTGCAACTGATCATGGGCATGGTGCAGGACTAGGCAGTGTTTTGTTCCGTTCTACGTCAGGTCACCATAAGTTGGGGCTGACTCGATGGAAGCTAACAATAGCATTACATAACCTGCCTAGTAAACAAAACTGTAAGTTCACCACACTGTTTGTTATGAATTGAATTGTGTCCCCCCAAAATGTGTGTTGTAAGTCCTGTGTTTGGGTTCAGTTTTATACCTGTGGTTATAATTCCGTTTGGGAATGGGCTTTTTGTTGTTGTTATCTTAAGAGGCCATGTCATTGTAGGGTGTGTTTTGAGACATAAAAAGAGTAGGTTAGGACAGAAAAGGAAACAGAGATAGGTGAAGATAATGCCATGTCATATAAAGAATACCAAGGAGCCAAGGAATAGAAGGTGAAGAGACAAGAATTTTCCCCCAGAGCCAACAGAGAGAGAAAGCCTTCCCCTAGACCCAGCACCCTGATTTTGGACTCCTAGCCTTCTAAACTGTGAGAAAATAAATTTCTGCTTGTTAAAGCCACCCACTTGTAGTATTTCTGTTAAAACAGCACTAAATAACTGAAACACTATTAAAAGTAAAAATGTTATAAAATTTAATTATGTATCATCTTGTGCTTTGGTTACTTTGTCATCAAATTATTATTATTTTTTTCCTTTCTAGAGATTAAGAAGCCACCAGTGGCCCCCAAGCCAAAGTTTGTGATGGCAAATAATAAGCCAGCTCCACCTCCCATTGCTCCTAAACCTGACATTGTGATTTCTAGTGCTCCACAGCCAACAAAGAAAACCAAGCCGGCAATAGCCCCAAAACCAAAAGTTCTAAAGGACTCACCTGTTCGAGACATAAGGCTATCACCATCAAGGAAAAACACTATGAACCTGGAAGAGCACAAACAGAAAGCACCTGAAAATGCTGATGACTTTAATTGTAAAAATGTAGGGAACCAGAGCAGTGATTTTATTTTACCGGTGTGCTCCTGCAGCTCTGAATGTGTCCATAAGCTTGGGAATAGAGGGAATTCATGTGTAAAGCAGCTTGTTTTAGAATCCCTAGAAATGCATGAAAATTTAGAAAATAGTAAAATTGATGAGTTCTCTTTAACTATAAAAACTAGGAATCAATGTGATTCTCATGGTGAAACGATACAGAGCCAGAGTGGAGTAGTTTTAAAGGCAAGCATCCTAGAAGAGAATCTCAAAGATGTTTTAACACAAGGAATGTCACCTTTTAGCTCACCACAGAAGCACAGATCCACAGACAGCCCAGAAATGAATGGTGGCTGTAATTTGAACGAGCAATTCAGAATTGAATTTACTGATTTGTCACCATCCTTATCCAGCTTTGAGAAAGTCCCTGATGATCACCACCTCCTACAGCCTGTGAGTGATGAATTTCAAATTGTTGAAACTTGTCAGGATGGTAATAGAAAAAGCAGTAGTTGCTTTCATTCATCCAAACAAGAAGCTCTGGAAAATGGCAAAAAGAATAATTTTATATCTTCAGATGGAGTTAGTAAGAAGATGGAAGTTAAAGACATTGGTCCCTTAGAAATTCACTTAGTACCATATACCAAAAAATTCCCAACTCCCAAGCCCAGAAAGACACGCACTGCTCGTCTGATACGCCAAGAGTATATAGATGCTCCTAGTGAAAGTACTGAGGAACCAGAGAATTCAGACAGTAACTCTTCTTGTCTTATTGAAGACAATTTGAAGAACAATAAAATTAGCGTTCTTCATCAGAATGTTTTGTGTAACCAGGAACAGGTGGATAAAGTGAAGCAAGGAAGTAAAAATGAATTGAATCTGGACTCTGACTGTGACAGACAGGACTTAGCCAATTCACAGAAAGCTGTGTGTCCTGAAACTTCTTCCTTTGAAAAAATGGCACCTCCTTTAGAGACAGACTCCTGTTTGAGTTCTGACAGCAAGACAGTAGATGGCTGTAATATGTCACTTGCTATGGACAATGGGACCGGTATTATAAGATGCAGTACTCTATCTGTAAGCCTGCCTAAGCAACTCAAATTAACTTGTAATGAACATTTGCCTACTGCGTATAACCCAGGAGTGTGTGCTCCTCAAATGCAAAAGGAATCTACAGTAAAGGATGAAAGTTCTTCAAGGATTATTCCCAAAAAGCCTCAAAGACACAGCTTGCCTGTTGCGGGGGTGCTTAAAAAGGCTGCCTCAGAGGAGCTTGTGGAGAAAAGTTGTTATCCCTTAAATGAGGAAAAAAATTTAGAGAAGAATCTAGAAAGCAATCACGTTCAGCATTTGGGTGCTCCAAACAATGGTATGTCATCGTCCTTTGATGTGCCCAAACGGGCTTCAGAAAAGCCAGTGTGGAAATTACCTCATCCTATTTTACCCTTTTCAGGGAACCCAGAATCCTTAAAGTCTGTGAGGATGTCCTCAAATAGTGAGCCCTCAAGTTCCCTAACCAAGCCTAGAGCAAAGTCATTATCTGCTGTGGATGCAGAAAGGAGCACTAAGCCTTGCAAAGACTCTCAAAAGAAAAACTCTTTGAAGAAGTTGCTCAACATGAAGTTGTCCATCTGTTTCATGAAGAGTGATTTTCAGAAATGTTGGTCCAAGAGTAGCCAACTTGGAGACATGAGCACTGGTAACGTCTGTGGTGGGGACCGGAAGAGGATTGAAAGTGATTGGCATGGCTTGTTGGCAGGAGAAGAAAAGAGAAGTAAACCCGTTAAGGCGTATTCTGCAGACAACTACAGCCTGGAATCTCAAAAGAAGAGAAAGAAGTCTCGGGTCCAGACCAGCATGGCCAATAGTCCTAGAGCTGAGTCTTTGGATGACCAAATTCTCTCTAGGGAATCATCGTCTCAGGCTGCTTGCAAATCTGTTAGAAGTGCCTGTGCACCGGAGTATGAAAATATACACCATTATAAGGAAATACCAGAGTATGAGAACTTGCCATTTATTATGGTTATAGGGAAAACTCCAGAGTTTGAATGTCACAATTCCAGCAACATGGAGGACACCGATGCAAATGTGTATGAGGTAGAAGACCCTTATGAAGCTCCTGCTAGCCAGCTGCAACTTGGACCCAGACTTCAGCACTGCAGGTAACACTTAGGTGCCGGACAGACATTGTACTCTTGCATGTATTATTGCAATTAATTTTCAACAACCCTGTGAGATAGGTATATGTACATGGGGGAAAATCACCTGATGAGAGACTGGTTTAGTTAAGCATATATAAAAAAAAAGAAAGAAAAATCTGTATTCCTGATGTCTATAATGAAGCTCAGCATTGGCTATGATGACTGATTCTTAGATGCATTTTTAAACTGTTTGTGGTTAATTGTCTTCTCTTCAGAATTGCTGCTAAAATTGACTGTTAAGCACTAGTTTTTCAAAACATATTGACTAGTTATGGAATTCTTATTCCAAAGTGCAGCCTCCTTTTATCATAGGGATGGAATGGGTATTTGCAGTGCAAGCTTGTAACAGTTGATTTACTAATAGCTGATGCAAAGAATTTGAACCAGAAGGAAGATAGATGCTGCAAAGAAGGTCTGGAACAGAGAGGTCCGAGGCCCTCCAAGGCACCAACTCAGGAGTCATTGCAGGAAACCTGGGGCAGGAAATTGGTCAATTCAATGAGGTTTTTTTTTGGCTAAGTAAGAAATCTGTACAGTTATTGAAATCCTTGCATTGTCTTTGTCAGGTAAAAACCTTTAAATTTGCAGAAATTACCACTCTTTGAGGATTAGTTATTTTCCTTGTTGAAGCTAATTGCTGACTCCTGGTGAATATAGGAAAAAATGCAGAAAGCGCATAACTGCTCTTCTTTCTTTCTTTCTTTGATGTATGTACTTCATGCCTCTGGAATATGTATTCCACCTCTCTTATTGAAATCTTGGGCCAGCTTAACAATGTGGTTTCATGAAGCTTCCAGAATCACCCAGTGGGAAGTGTTCACATCCTATTCTGACCTCCCAATTATTCTATATTCTTACAGCCTTTATCTCAGACTTTCTTATGGTGCGATTATTTGGTCTTAAAATTATATTTATATCCTACATGAGGCCAAGCAAGGAGCTTGGTAGGTGATCAGTAGATGTTCTTTGGGTATATGAGTGAGTGAATCGAAAAGAGGCAAAGCAACCTTTGTAGCTGCTTCCTTCTCTCTTCATAGTCCCAAAGGTAGCCTTTGCATTGTATTTGAAGGGTTTTATGTTTAACCAAAAGCACCTAAACCATTTTTGTGCAGTATTTAATGTTTTCAGATTCTTCTTAGACCACCAACTTCAGGCCTTTGAGTACTGAAGTCTTAAAATATGACTTTTGTAGAAACATCATATCATACCTGACACATAGTGGCTACTTAAATGCCAAAGAAAGGATTATTGGGTGAATTAAATATGTGATATTGTCAAGCAAAATTTCAGTCAATTCATCAAGCAAAATAAATTAAAGTTCTTTTAACTTTAAGATGTTCTCCTAGCATTTTTCTTTACCCATACTTCTCTGTGCCCTTCCTCCTTATACCTATACAGTGGTATTTAACTCCCTTGCCTAATTTTTCTCATAGCTGATTGCATTTTGTTTACATCTTTCTATTCTTTGAAAGTAACTAGCCAAAAGTCTCTTCCTTGGCATGAATATTTCCACAGAGAATTGGAGCCAAAATATCGAACTTTTTTTTGGCTATTTTTATGCTTGCTCTGCTTTCCATGGAGCAATTTTGGTGTTACTGTTCCCCCTCTTAATGGAAGCGCTGGGCTGCTAAACGAAAGGTTCATGGTTCAGACCCATCCAGCGGCTCTGTGGGAGAAAGACCTGGTGATCTATTCCTATAAAGATGATAACCTAGAAAACTCTATGGGGCAGTTCTCCTCTGTCACATGAGGTCACTATGAGTTGAAATTGACTTGGGCACCTAGCAACAATAACAATGTCTCCTTTTTGGAGGCCCTGGGTGGTGCATAAGGTTAACGTGTTCAGCTGCTAACTGAAAGGTTGGAGATTTGAGTCCCCCCAGAAGTGCCTCAGAAGAAAGGCCTGGTGATCTACTTCTGGAAAATCAGCCATTGAAAACCCTATGGAGCACAGTTCTACTCTGACATACACTGGGGTCACCATGAGTTGGAATGTACTCAAGGGCAACTGATTTACTGATTCTCCTTGTATTATGCTTTTGTGTAGTGTGTGTGTGTGTGTGTGTGTGTGTGTGTGTGTGTAAGTTTATTAAAGAGGAATGCATTTGAATTTGTCTTCTTTGTGATACACTACCATCCTTGCCTAAAATTAAAATGTTCTCTTGAAATTGGAGGTTTAGCCCTTGGGCAGGTTTCCTTTGGCCCTCAGGCTTAATAACATTATCTCTGACATAGGCTCTTTACTTCTGGATCTTGTCCTTTGTCTGGTATGCTTCTTATGCAATTAGGGCACTGCTGGACTGGGGGAGTCAGGTTGTAAGGGGTTAACTACACAGTCAGCCAGTGCAGCTGGATGGCATTCAGGAGGAGGGTTCTTTCTGGAGGCCACAGGAAACTGAGGGTTGCTTTGGACAGGTTGCAGGCCATCAAGTAGGGCAGCCTGGTGAGCGGTGGGTGAGTTCTGCTTTGGAATTTAGCTTTCCTAAGAGATTTTTGTTTAGGCCTAGAGCAGGGAGCCCTAAGCAGCCTTGAGATTCCTAAAATGTGCCAGCTGAATCAAAAGCCTTCAGTCATAGGGTCAGAGTAACAGCATTGCCTGGGAGGTTGTTCCTTTCGTAAACAGTATTGAATAGACAGGAAAAAAAAGAGACGCTTTCATGAGGAAGACATTTGGACACCTAAAAATAAGGTGAATGAGAAGCCAGTCATACATTTCTGGTGAGCCGAGAGGATCAAAGTGAAAATCCTGTTTGGTAGTCTGGCTGTTGAAAATATAAACCTGTGCTTTCAAATTGTTGATTCAAACTCCAACACCCTAGGATTCTAAAAAGGAGCCCTGGTGGTGCAACAGTTAAACGCTTGGCTGCTAACCGAAGGTTGGCAGTTCCCATCCACTCACCACCTCCATGGGAGAAAGGCAGTCTGCTCCCTTAAAGATTCCAGTCCAGGAAACTCAGTGAGGCAGTTCTACTCCATCACATGAGTTCACTATGAGTGGAAGTCCACTGGAGGGCACCTAACAACAATAGGGTTCTAAAACGATAAGAAAAAATGTAGACATATACTGTGTTTAAGTTTAAACCTAAACCTAAGCTCTACTGGAGTGAATCAGAAGAGTGTCTTTACCAGTTTCTCAACCCTCAGGGAAGAGAGGGTGGATTTTACCTGGGGAACTAGTTCACAGACAATACTGTTTTACAGGTTCTTGAAGCCCTGGTAGCACAGTTGTTAAGAGCTCGGCTGCTAACCAGAAGGTCAGCACTTCGAATCCACCAGCAGCTCCTTAGAAACTATGGGGTGGTTCTACTCTGTCCTGTAGGGTCAGTATGAGTTGGAATCCACTCGATGGCAATGGGTTTTTTTTTTTTTTTAATATATATAACTGTCTTGGTTTCTTAGTGCTGCTATAACAGAAATCCCACAAGTGGGTGGCTTTTATGAACAGAAATTTATTTTCTCACAGTTTAGGAGGTTAGAAGCCCAAATTCAGGGCACTGGCTCTAGAGGAAGGCTCTCTCTGTCTGCTCTGTGTTCTCAGAACCCTGGTTGCCCAGTGGTTAAGCACTTGGCTGCTGACTGAAGATTGACGGTTTGAACCCACCAGCCGCTCCATGAGAGAAAGATGTGGCTAAAAAAGATTACAGTCTAGGGTCACTCTGAGTCAGAATCGACTCAACTGCAGTGGGTTTGGTTTTTTTGGTTTAGTGTTCTCAGAGATCTTTGGAGAGCTCCATGTGGTATCTGTCTTCCCCCCTTTGTCCTTAAAACTTGCTTTCTGAAAAGTGATTTGTTTAAGACACACCCTTCATTGATGGTCTCATTAATATAACAAAGAAAACCCCATTCCCAAATGAGATTACATGCACAGGTATAGGGGTTAGGATTTATATAACATATTTTAGGGGGACACAGTTCAATCTATAACAATAACCGACCAAGTTCTGGATCAGTAAACAATCGATAGTTGGCAAGCTTGGGGCTTTATGGCCAACTTTTTTCGAGTGTAGATGTTTCATTCAAATTCAACAACCTAAAATTTACAAGCTTATAACGACATATTTATAATTTGTCAGGAAATAATTGTGGCTAGGTCCTAATTCTAAATAGGGCTGTGTTCTAAAAGTTCATGATTATTTGGAGCTCAGAGTGTATTTCCCAAAAAAACAATGTTGGAAATGGTGGTTAAGGTCCCAGTTTAGCTCCCAAATTATATTAACCATTTTTGTACTGGCCTATGGAGCACTGGTGACACAGTGGTTAAACACTCGGCTGCTCACTGAAAGGTCAGCAGTTCCACCCCACCAGCCACTGCGCAAGAGAAAGATGTAGCAGTCTGCTTCCGTAAAGATTTACAGCCTTGGAAACCCTATTGGACAGTTCTACTCTGTCCTGCAGGGCCGCTGTGAGTCGGAATTGATTCAAGGGCAGTGGGTTTTGTACTTGCCTATCCTTTACCCCTTCTCCAGTCAGGTTAATTCTTCATCTCTCAGTGCTTCTGTGTGTTCCTCTGATACAAGCTGGGGCTGAAGATGGAGCATTAGCCAATGTGTTGTTTAGCCCCAGGAGAAACAACTCCACAAGGTCTGAGGTTTTCATCAGGGTTTGTGAAAAGGGTGAGGCGACTGAAAATAAGGAAATCGGGGGCTGGGCTGCTGTGAGAAAGACATTGGGAGTGATAAGGAGAAGGGAAGAGTGGGTTGGTTGGTTGGAAATTAGCATATAGTGGATTTTCTTCCCTCCTTTTATCCTTATTATTCCTTTCTCTTCCCCCTTTCCCTCCCCATTCTCCATTGCTAACAGTGTGATTCTACTAATTGAGTTTCTGACATCAGGCAACAGTGAGAAGTAACTAGAGGGGAAGATGGATGGTGGATTGGGAGCTCACACAGCCATAGAAACCGTAGTTTGAGTTGTTCCCAGATAGGTCATCATTTGTTCACTGCTCTGGGTTCTCAGAAGCA